CCCTTTTAGCAGGTATTCCCTTTTGGCAGGTATTCCCTTTTAGCAGGTATTCCCTTTTGGCAGGTATTCCCTTTTAGCAGGTATTCCCTTTTGGCAGGTATTCCCTTTTGGCAGGTATTCCCTTTTAGCAGGTATTCACCTTTGGCAGGTATTCCCTTTTAGCAGGTATTACCCAGGAGGTCCCAAAGGCCGCCAGCCTGTGGTCACTGGGTGTTGAGCATATAAAGCTCGTCAAACTCACATTCTGACAAATTTTGTGCATACCATTGCGTTGCTAGGAGGGCTCTGCCAAGTTTAATGGGTATAACAGTAATGGTTACTGAGCCAGAGGTTAGCTTAGCGAATTAATTAATTAATTAATTAATTCATTCATTCATTCATAACTAATTAGGCATATTGAACATATACATTGGGATAATACCATCATGGTTATAAAGTAAGATCTTTGTTTCCTATTTGCCCTACATTTATTACTGCGATTCCTGAATACGTCCTTTTTTACAGTTGGTGAGTAGGAAGTTACATCCTATGATCCTGATGGCTGTCTGTGGGTCATGTGTAAATTTCATTGTGGGGACCAAATGCGGTCCATCCCCGTGGTGTTAGGTAATCGGCATCGGAAGGTTTATGGGCAAACAGAGGCCCAGTCTGCTTGCAGTCTGATGGTGGGATGGTGTGCAAGGCGTCTGTCTGGTAAGGGCCCCCTTATGCGAGGGGGGGGGGGGGGGCACAATGTAGGAATGCAGGGGGAGGATCTGAAGGTCGTGTTAATTGCCTTTAAGTTTCCTTTGCTCTGTCCGGCTTTCCCCCCTCTATCAAATTTCCTTACATGACATTTAGATTAAAATTAAGATTAACTTAACTGATCTCAGGGGGAAATTCTGGTGCAAACAGCAGCAAGAACAAGACAGACACGCCTATAGTGCCAAACAGAGCAGTGTTAGTGTGAGCAGCGTTTCTCTGAACACTTTGCTCAGCTTCTACAAACGCTGTTTCTGTGCAGGACGTCCCGTTTCGTGTCATTCCCTGAGTATCTGGTTCTGCAGATCAAGAAGTTCACATTTGGGCTTGACTGGGTGCCCAAGAAAATTGGTGAGTATGTGGCAAGGTGCCACGGCTTCGTCTGGGTTACATAACGGGAAACCGATGTAAACCTAATGTTGTGGGGCGCATCGTAATTAATGTATAGATTTATTGCAAGTCAGCATTTTTAAAGCATACTGCACTTACTAAAATAACCGTAGGGCTTTTTTGGGAAGCTGGGGGGGTGGGGGGCTTTCCTCAGCAGTACAGGACACAAGGCTGGGGTACAGCGGTGCACACTGGATGGGATGTCAGTTTGTCACATAGCAGTTACTCAGTGGATGCTTTTTCCCCAGTGTGATGTACGTTTTGAGGAATCTATGGCCAGTTCCTGTAGCACAGAGTTAAGGGTCTCGCTCAAAGGGCCAACAGTGAACTCCGTTCTCCAGCCCTGGGATTTGAACCTGTGACCTTCCGATCCCAGGCACGGCTCCCTTACCCGCTGAGCCTCACAACACCCAAGCCCCTGCTCAGTAAATAAAATGTTAATATTAAAACGTTCTTCATTGTGAGATCCAGTGGGATCTCATTTATTTTCAGGACTTTTCCTGGGTCTGCTTGTCCTGAGGTTCTGCTGACGGCCAGGTTGCATATCTGGTCACTTAGCCATGGTGATGTCATGGTGTTTTTTTTCAACGAACTGTAACTGCACGGTTTGTACTCGTAGTAATTTTTAAAACAGGCTAAAAAGAGTCAAAGCCCACGATTTAGGCAGCGCCAGTTACTCTGATGTCCAGCAGAGGGGGCTAATGCGACACACAGGACATAACCGTTCATAGTCTCCGCGTCCTGAAATGTACTAGACAAGGGAATTTAGCAAAACGTGCCGAGGAAAGTTCTTTATAAAAATCTTTCTAAAACAAAATGGTGGATCAAGGGAGATTGAGATGCTTTTTAGTTTTTGCTCCAAAATAAACCCATATCATCGCATTCATGTTCCTACCAACTCCTGTATAGCTCTGCCAGAACAGAATTCCCGTAGACCACAGGTGTCGAACTCCAGTCCTGGGGGGCCGGAACCCTGCACATTTTTGGGTTTCCCCTCATTTAACACACCTGATTCACCTCATTGTGCTAATTACCACACAGCTGTTGAGCTGAATCATTTGTGGTGGAACAGGGAAAGAACTAAGCTACACAGGGCTCCGGCCCCCCAGGACTGCAGTTTGACACCCCTGCCATAGACTGTTGAGCTATCAACATTGAAAAATGAAAAGATAGTTGACTAACTGTGCCTTAAAGTATCCAAGTGAAATGAATTATGCAACATATTCTCATGGCAAAAGTACCAAGTATGTACTCTGTGATTTCTCATTTGTCAGTTTTAAAAATAATATTTCCTGGTTGTGCATCTTTCATCTAATTACAAAAAAATAGGGCTGTTCTGATTTTTTTCCTCCCAGAAAACTTTGTGTAAAATTAGAATAGCGATTCTTGCATCTATATGGAGAAAGTTTGAGGGTCGCAGTGAGGGGTCAGCCTGTGACTTTGGAGCCTTTGGGGTAGGGGTCATTTGCATCATTCTGACAACCGTGGGATTCAAACCAGCAATGTTCCGTTCATGGGGACAGACTCATGACCTACCAAAGACACACACTACCCCACAAAGACTGTTAAACGGATAAACCAGCCCTGCCTTACATTTTTTATCCTAAATGCAATTGAATGTGAAGGTGACAATGTTCATAATTCATTGTGCAGGCCGTCCTGCTGACCGTAATGAATGTGTGTGTGTGTGTGTGTGTGTGTGTGTGTGTGTTGTTACCTGCCTTACAGATCTCTCCATAGACATGCCAGACTTCCTAGATCTGACTCGCCTTCGTGCCACAGGACTGCAAGCAGGAGAAGAGGAGCTTCCTGATCTCATGCCGCCCATCGTCCTTCCTGAAGACACTCGAGGTAGGGGCCTGTCGCCCCCCTGGTCAGTCAGCACCCCAGCCTGACCCAGCTGTCAGACAGCGGAACTGCAAGCTTATTATCTAACATCTCAAAGCCAGAAGTGCAATTGAATGCCATGCATTTCATAAATTAACCACTTAAGAACTAAACAAGAAAAATGGTTGCATCCTGAACAGGCGATTTGAACAGAGCATTACAGATATTAGAATTATACATTTTTAATTCATTTAATCATTTGCATTTTATTTCCCAATATTTTAGCTTGGATATAGTGAACTGTACATATAGAGATTAGTCATACTGGTGATATTTGCCAGAACATATACTCACTGGACACTTTATTAGGTACACCTGACTGGTACCAGGTCGGACCCCTTTTTACCTTCAAAACTCCCTTAATTCTTCATGGCACAGATGCAACAAGGTGCTTGAAACATTCCTCAGAGACTTTGGTCCATGTTGGCATGATAGCATCACGCTGCACCATCATGATCTCCCGTTCCACCGCATCCCATAAGTGTGAGTGGACTGAGATATGGAGACTATGGAGGCCATTTGAGCACAGTAAACTCATTGTCGCATTCAAGTAGAGAGATCAAAAGTTATGAAAAGTACTGAGATGACATTTTATATACACTATAGAAAGTTGGACTTGAATGAGAAGCATTTGAAACTTGTTTTTTCCAGGATTATTTATATATAAACAAGTTTCATATGTAAGGTATGACTGTGTGTTCCTGAGGATTTTGTATTTCAGTGGGGATACTGCACAGTTAGTGTTTATAATGGTATAATATTGATTATGTTCCAGGAACCTTTTCTAAACCACTCTCAAGATGTTCTTTTGAATGTTGCATGCACTCAGCTGCAGTCATGCATTGCTAAATATATGCAATTTCTTGTCAGTCCTGTTCTGCTTTGATATCAGGAAATACTGCGATTACTTCCTGTTTTATTCTGAATGGGCCTATTTTGTCCATATCATTATTGTGGCTCAGTATGTCACCCCGTAGCCTGAGACCCCCAGCGCTGGCTTTCGTATCTCACCCCAGCCCTGTATCTGTGGGGTCTGCATATTCTCCCTGTCGCTGTCCGGGTTTCCTACACGTAGTTTAGCTTCTCCACAGACCAAAAGAGCACTGCTAAGTGAGTTGGTAACAGTGACCGTTTGAGCTCTATGATGCACTGGGGATCCCGTCCATGATGCGCTCCCGCTTTGCACTGGGATGGCGGCCAGGTACTGCAGGGCCGGATAGGAATACGGGTGCGTTTGTGGATTTAAGGAGATCTGTAATTCTCCAATACAGATTGGATGCCTTAAAATTGTGGCAGCAGATGTCAGGAAGAGTGTGAATTTGCACTCTGTGTGTTGTCCTTCTTCTATCGTTCTGTTGCTGCAGTACTGAGATATGAGCTCGCTTTTGCCAGTGCTGAAATTCGTTGTTGTTCTTGCAGTGAACAGGGAATAAAGTTATGAAAAGTAATAAACTTTCTTAGCATTCAAGCTTTTCTCTCTGAAATCAGTATGTTTCCACTTTGCATTCCTCACCATTATTTAGGTTTAGGGTTACCTCATGTTGACCTGAGTAAAAGAAAATGGTTGCCTTACAAATGCTTTTTAAAAGTTGTTTTAATCACATCTACTTTCTCTTTTTATTCCCAGATAGTTCAATGACAGATTGTAAGTATTAATATATTGTTATATCATTTATTATTTTAGTCCTGTGAATCATTACATTTTAAGCATGCCTTCACGTTTAAATGTTTTCTTTCCTTTTTATCAATCATAATAATTCAGCGTCAGGCCTATTTCAGTCACATTGACAAATATCCAGAATTAGAAAGTAAACATTCTCATGTTAATAGTACAGCGTCTGACAGTAGTACATTGTGTGTGTGCCCATGTGCGTGCATATGTGTGTGTGTGTGTGTGTGTGTGTGTGTACCCATGTGTGTGTTGTGTCTGTTTTAGCTCCAGAAATAGATGAGTCTGCCGTGATGCAGCTGGCGGAGATGGGCTTCCCACAGGAGGCCTGTCGGAAAGCCGTGTATTACACAGGAAATATGGGAGCAGAGATGGCCTTCAACTGGATTATCGCCCACATGGAGGAGCCCGGTAAGACCTCCCAAAACGCGCCCGGCCTGCGAGGGAGCCTGCGGACGCCATGCGTCATGCTAACGAGGCCTGTGTGATAGAGCCTCGGCCGTTTGTCATTGAGAATGTTAGGGTGGACTGCCTTGTTAGCCAGGCCACCTAGGAGCCGAGCCTCTGCTCATCTTCCTCCCTCAGAAGCGGCTCTGATAAATACCACTGGGGTGCAGAGTTTGTTTTCCTGTAACAGCATGGGCTGGTTTTGGAGTGCAGTCACCTCCATGTTGGTTAGCAGCATCACCAGGGGCCATCAGCCTGTCCGCACCTGGATCGCGGCCCTGCTTTGATGGGGAGAGAACACTGTGAAGGTCATGTTTTGAAGCATCGTGTCAGATGGTAAAATTTTTTTTGATCAAAATGTTGGATAGAATCCGCAGAACATTACGGCTTGCCAATAAAAATGAGATAACCAATCAGAATGTAGAGGAGGCGGGTCCAAGCAACTAAAAGAGGCGGGACTAAGACATTTTTCCTTCTGGCCTCAGAACATGTTTTTGTAAGTAAAACTCTCATGAGTATATTTTAAACCTGATTTAAACACCATTTAACCTTTTGCCTACTTAGTTACTGCAGTAATTCTGTCGACAAGAGACGAAATTGCTCCGGTTCTTGTCTTCTGCCATGATTCACATCTTACTCTATCTGGTGACAGAGGTCCAGCACATCGCTTACAGCCGACAGCAGTGGGTGACACTGTTTACTGTTTCTCATTAGAATGCAGGCTGGAATTAAAGATCAGCCCAGGACTGTTGCCCATTAAAGGTTACCACACATGCATTTCCACTGGGAAAATGCCCTTAAGCCAGGTGGCCAGTTCAGCTTTGCTGGAATGGTGCTGGGATGCTTTGAGGAAATACTGAAGTCCGCAACTGATCGCATGAAACTCGCTCTCCAATTGCACAGCCTTGGCTGACATTCATCCTACTTGAACAAATCTGTACTTTGAGATTATATCGGTATCTTGTGCCTTTAGCCACATAAGGAGTCCTAACTCCAGAGGGGATTGATAGCAATATGTAGTATAAGCATGTAACAGCTTAGACTTGTTGGTACATCTCAGCACCTCGAATTGTGTTAGCAGGGAAATGTGACACCAGGCCTTCAGTCTTAATGCTGCACCTAGAAGAAGAAACGCCATGAAACATGCGACTTTAGCCTGCTGTTCCAGCTGTTCGAAAACCTTACGTCTTACCGCTTCCCATCAAACAAGAGCCGAAGTCAAACTGGATCAGGAAATGAGCGTGGGATATCCAGATGACACCATTTCCACTCGCAGTTTTTTTCAGGAAAGCTTTGATCCTTAATTTGACAGTGTTCTGAAATTACGGAGTTAGGGTCAAACGACAGTGACCTTTTCTCATGTCATTTACAGTGTGAGCAGTTACAGCTGGGTGTAAACGTTCGGTAATGAGGGTAGAGAAGAGTGTAAGAACCCCATGTATTAATTTCCAGTTAACTTCATAGTTTCAGGATTTATGCGGTATACAGTATATACTCTCAGTCAACTGTACCGGTGTCATTCTCATTAATAAAGACCTGTTGCTGGATGTTTGTTCCTTGCGTTTGTCTTTCTGATGGTGTCGCTCGTGTGCGGGAGCACCACTCTCCATTGCTTCTTGCTGGTCTCTCGAAGGTCTCGTGCTGATGGGGAATTTCCACGTCTCCCCTGCAGACTTTGCAGAGCCGTTAGTAGCGCCCTCCCTCTCGGATTCGGGCCCTTCCAGTGCAAGTCAGGCTCCCTCCACGGACAGCCAGCCCCCCGAGGAGAGTGTGGCCATCCTGACCTCCATGGGCTTTCCCAGAAGCCAGGCTGTCCAAGCCCTCAAAGCCACCGTGAGTTTTCTCAAAATTAGACCGCTGAGAGATTTTTGAGCTTTTTGTATTGCATTTCTGCCTTATTATACTACATTGGTGCAATTTTTGTCCACTATCGGTTAAAAACCTGTTTACATTCCATGTCAAAGGACGGCTGATGTGAATGTAACGCATCACGAGAAAAACTGAGGCTAAGAGCTTCAGGGTTGGAGGTTTGATTCCAGTCCCTGGCTCTTTGGGCCTGAGTTTGCATGAGTTTCCTCCTTCAGTCCAAAGACTGAACCCTGGTCCAAGAGGTGTATGTTACTGTACCTTTACAAGAATTAGGAGATTGTTTAGCAAATTATTCAGAAAGATTGGCCACCATTTGACTTCAGATGGACTTCAGAAGCTTTCATTGACAGCAGTTTGACTGGATGTTTTTCAGAACAACAATCTAGAGCGAGCTCTGGACTGGATCTTCACGCACCCTGACAACGAGGAGGACAGCGGGTCTGCGTCTGACATGGCCGAGACAGAACCGAACGACAACGCCTTCTCCAGCGCCAACGCACACAGCGACTCCACGCTGTCCCCTGATCAGGATCCGGCTGGGCCCAGGATCAAAGACGGACCGGGCCGTGAGTGTCCTGCCAGGAACTTTCTTGGAACTGGAGATGTACTGCAGATGGCTGAAAAAACTGCTGCTATTAAGATAGAAATCAAGACCATAATGACTTAAAAGTTCTCGGAGAATCAATGCCTAATGGCTGCGGATTTGGTCATCATATCACCTAAGTGAGGCTTCAGTCCAATAGCAAGGTGCTTAAAAACATCTTAATGCACTTTGCAGGATCCAGTCTGTTATAATGACCATCTATGCAGAAGTCCTAACATAGCCTGATTATTGACTGGTACAGTGCAGTCATTTATCATTGGTATTCATTAAGAATATTCCAGTAGTCATTTGCCCTTTTAGGTCAGTGATGAGTGAAAATATTTGTCCAAATCAAAAAATGGTCTTCCATGGTTTAATTGTCTTGCTTAACATGTTTGCTGTTTTATCCCATTTATTTGTAACCTCTAATAGCTAAATGTATCAAAATGACAAACCTGTCGCTAATTTTCCATTTCCAGATTTTTTCCTCCAAAAAGGACATAGCTACAGTTGAAACATTTGTTGTGCATAATTTGTTAGAAGCCCAAATTGACAGTGTCCATAACGGGCTACTCCTCTTTAGCAGTACGCACTGTTCACTGGTATTGACTTGGTGTTCACGTTGTGCTAGATGTTTCCATCATGCTGTGTCTCTTGGTCTCCTCACACATGATCCACTCGACTTCAGCTGTCACTTAAGTCGCAGCAGTGTCTAACATCACAGAACCTACTTGCCGATTTTCAGAAATGCAGAGGGAGTTCAGACTGTGCTAGCTAATGCTAATGCTAGCTTGTTAGGCTGTGTTTTTCAAGGTGGCTTCTGTTAACTAGCATTCAGCCTGCTGATAGGCCATTGGAGGTAAAACTGATGGCTTTTCAGGTTCTGTAAAGATGGAATAATTGTTGAGAGGAAGCTGTTCTCTTCTTAGGCTAAACACAACTGGTGTTATTCAAAACCGCATCAAACAGTAAAAAGTAAAGTAGGATATCCACTAACACGCACAATACTGATTTTTACCACCTTAATTTATCGACCCTGAACACACAACTGGCCTTAAAGCATATATCGCTGGATAGTGTTTACTAGATGAACTAGGACTGTTATAAGTGAACGTGTATACTTGGCTATTTTCCTGAATGAGCTTGACTTTAAATGTCTCCTTGAAGGGGTTAAGATTTGCTGGTGTGATTACCCCCCCCCCCCCCCCCCCCATTGCCCAAATCCACTCTTAGATGGTAGTAGCCAGCGGTGAAGTTCGCTGTCCTGGGCGATTGCCCATCTTGCCCTTACCAGGATCTGCATGTGGAACTGCTTATGAAATGGCAACCATAAATATCTCCATACGTTTTTATGGACAGTTATTTTTGGAACCAGATGGTGCTTCATATTCTAAATTTTTAATTTTTTTATTTTTTTTTCTCTTTTACAGGATATGAACTTTTCGCTTTTATAAGTCACATGGGAACCTCTACAATGTCTGGGCATTACGTATGTCACATTAAGAAGGAGGGAAGGTAAGCAGGCAGCAGAGCTCCGGCCGTCTGGGATAGAATCCAACCTATTAGAATAAAGTTGTGATAATGTAGGTGAGCATTTTTAAGCAGACAGGTCTTACATATGTAGAACTGCAAAGATTAAGTTATTAATCTCCAGTAGGGCTGCAACTAATGATTATTTTGATAATCGATTAATCTGTCGATTACTTTTTCGATTAATCGAAACCAATTCGATTTCCAGCATCTTTTAATAACCCAGTCTGTCTTTGTACAAAGGTTGTTTCCAGAAACTCACATAAAAAACAAATGTATGCTACATTAAGAGTATAATGTAGCAGCTGAATCAATGTAATGAAATACACAAAATCTTGTTTTATGAAGTGCAACCAGCATGGTGCTTTAGATAATGTATTCAGTACTCCAGTTTTTTAATGTAAAAGCAGAGACTACCGCTGCTGCTGCTAAGAATATTATTAAATAATTGTCTAATGTTATTTAATGTTGATACACATTTGTGCATGACAGGGGGAGAGAGCACGCAAGCGAGTGTGTCTGCATTTATTACGGGCAAAGTAAACATTTATTGCGGAGAAAAAGCCTTTTCCACATTTTACGCTAAAAATGCGCCGGCTTGCATACTACAGTGATGAACTGTAAATAAGATAAATAACATAAGGCTATTTAGTTTGTTTAATAAAAGGACAAGATATAAACCTGTTCTATAGGAAAGGTAGCCTTAAATGACTTCTGTTGTAATCTGGCGCTATATAGAAAATAAAATTAACTTGGGGCGCCCCCCTAATAGAATGGTAGGGTAGACACGTTGTGGTATATGTAGCCACATAATAGCTGATTGTGTTGACAACCACGACTTCCCCTGCCTTCATTTAAACACGTGTGTGTGTGAAGGGACGGGGCGGGTAACGCGGCCGGCAGTAACGCCATTGGTTGCACTTGAAGTTATTAGTTATCCAGTCCGACAGTAAACGGCTCATTAATAAGAATATTCAATAGTTGTGGTCTCGAAATAAAATCCCGAGTCCATGACAAGAACGAGTACAAATACGGCTGATTCAAGCACAAGATCGAGACCTTCAAAAACTGGTCTTACTACAACATTTGATATTACTATAAATTTCTATCATGAAGAAATGAAGCAGTGGTGTAGTGGTAACAAGAAATTTAAGGTGGGTAAATTATATGCACAGCAGTAAAAACGGTGGGTAACTATTTATATCCTTAACATTAGTGATCTCAAAAAAGGTGAGTAAACGCTGTTTTGTAAATTTAAAAGGTGCGTAAATGGCGTTTATGTGCATTTACCCTCCACTACACCACTGAATGAAGGATTTGTGTTTAGTAATCTGAATAATTGCATAAAATAATCCAAAAACTCCACGACGTCACATAATACATCAGTGTCTCTCCGACCTAATTTCAGCTAATTATCGTCAAATTCTGGTAGACTTAAAACAAGACTGCTGTGTCCGCCTCAGCCATTTTTTTAAACGTTTTTTTTTCCAATTCTCCCAGAATTCATCACGTAAGGTACTCAAGGCATGCCATTGGTTCTCGTCACCTTTTTCTTTTCTTGGCGGTCGGCATCCAGCTTAATGGTGCTTTATTGCCACCGCGGCTTTGGTTAGCTTACTGCTCCCAAATTAGGAGGTAGCCACTGTACTTATGTGTATAATAACGTAGACCCAACTAATCGATTATTAAATTAGTTGCCAACTATTTTAATAATCGATTAAATCGATTAGTTGTTGCAGCCCTAATCTCCAGCGATCCAAATTTGTAAAACTGTTGCACTCTATATCAGTGTTTCTCAATTTAGTTCTCAGGGAACCACAGACAGTATATGTTTTTGCTCCTGGGAGCTAGGAGGGAGCAAAAATATGGATTGTCTGGCTGGGAGCTGGGAGGGAGCAAAAATGTGGGCCCCTAAGGACCGGATTGGGAAACACTGCTCTATATGATACATGAATCAAGTAAGCTATTTTAATTTACTTTCATTTTCTAACTAAATTGATGGGTAAATAATGACCTTATTCCCCTGTAGGTGGGTGATATACAACGACCACAAAGTCTGTCTGTCAGAAAGACCTCCAAAGGACATGGCCTATATGTACTTCTACCATCGGCTGTCTAGAAGCTAGATCAAATTTGCACGCAGTAACCTCAAAAAAGTGCTACCGACTTCTACTCCAAAAGAGCAATGAAAATGTCAAAACCAAACCAGCAAGGAGAAGGACTTGTGGACACGAGGGGCTGATGTCAAACGCTGCCGAACATACATGGTGAAAGGAGAAAGTATGGTGCCCATCCTTTTGTTCATTGGTTTCTTTTTTTTTTGCTAATAGTGACAGTTACTGAAATGGTAACCCAAATTATACAGCATTACATATCTTGTATACCTTCAAATCTATAGGACAGATATTTTCATGCTTGAAGATATGACTAATTTTGAGTGCAGCAGTTTAACGATCCAGCTCTTGAGGAAGTGCATTCTCTGTACTTGCCAGAATAAGTTATTCTTTTTGAACACTAGTGGGCAGTAGAGCTGGAAGTAGGGATGCTGAAAGTCGGATTCATCAATGGAGTAAAAAAAGGTTTATATTAATCTCACAGTTGCTCGTATTCCTCTGAAACGACTGCTACTGTTAGCTGTCGATACAAAACCACTGTTCTTTCAACACCCTTAGCTCAAAACATCTTCCTGCACCTTCGCTAGTGGGAACCATGTATATTTAGCAAGCTGGCCAGGGGGGGTCTTCAGGCTGCTAGAAAGACATGAAAAAACAGACAAATTCAAAAAAATTGAATTTTTCAATTTTCAATAAATTTTACTGTGGGTCAGAGGTGGAGGTTTCAGGTCCAGAGAGTACAAGTCCAGACCAAGATTTTGCTTCAACCAACCAGTTGTGTATAAAGAGTCACAGTCAGAGTACTTAACTGGTTGGTTGAAACAAAATCCTGGTCTGGATTTGTACTCTCTGGACCTGAAACCCCCACCTCTGCTGGGGGTGTATCACATCAACTGGGCATAACAATTCCGTGTGCTGGTCTTTCACTTTCCCACGTCCCCGTGTCTGCTGTTTGGCTTTCATTCAGATTATCTGCATCATTCATTCGGATGCATTTCTTGAACTGGTTTCAAAGGTATGTTTGTTTTACATCTAAGCAGTTTTGTTCAAACCAAAACATTCAGTTTTGTTTGCAGTATTGTTGCACACAGCTGCTCGGTTATTTGTAATGAAAAATGGATGCTTTAAAACCAACATTTTGATAATAGATTCATCTCATTTTTGAAATTCTATTAAAAAAATTATAAAAAATTACATTATCATTAATTTATCATTAAGGACAATTGGCAAAATTATTTTACCTAAGTGCATGTTATACAAAAATATAAACTTAAAACACACACACACACACTATTTTCTGTGGATGAAGTCCTAAATATTAATAACCGCAGTATTATCTTAAACACCTAAACAAAATGATTCTTGCGTTTTGTTCCGTTCTCAAACTTTATCCACCAATAAATCAGTTAATAACAAAGAGATAGCAAGCAGTATCATTTTCAAAGGGTGAATTACGCCAACATTTACCAGTTTTTTTTTTTTTTTAAAAAGCTCATTTTTGCAGAGGATAGATGGCTTCCCTTTGAATGAGGCAGCCACATGCCTATCTGTCATTATGATGGCCGTACAGTGGAATGCAGTGGAATGCAGTGCTATAAGTGCAATCCCACTTGTTCGCTATACAAGTTATTTTGCTGGTCACAGTTCTCTGAATACATAACCTGTAATTGATAGACTAATATTTGAAGTAACTGCACATCTTTTCAGAGTTTAATACTACATTGATGCATATTCTCCAAAAGCCTTTAAAATGAAACCGTTACCATACAAAAATGAGCAGTGTGTTGTTAATTACTATAGCAATATATGCCACGACAAGAGGAGGACTTTTGTTCTTCTCACAAATATGCAGTTCATTACTCAAACTGAGGCTTTATCTATGTACAGATTCAATCTGTAAGAGACATATCCACTGAATGTAATGCTTTTGGTGCTCATTGTTATAAGACATTTCTGGACAGTTTACTCTCAAAGGAAATCCTGAAGCTATTTATTGTGCTTACCATGTTAAGTTTACCTAATTCATCTCATACATGTATATATTTCATTTTGCACAATATATTTGGCACGACTGACTTTGTTAAAGCAAATGGATTTTGTGGCCATGTTTATTTTATATAATTGTGCATAAGCACTGTCCCTAGTTCTTACCAAATTAGATGTGGAAATTTGCACTGTTTTTTTTCCTTCTTTTTTCCCCCAGAGGGACAAAGTAAATAAGGTCCTGGAAATCTGATGGGGTTAGGAACTTCTGTGATGTCATTATTCTGGCCTCTCGAATTTTGAATGTCATATGTGAACAGCAATCTTAGGCTAAAGCGTAATTCACGTATGAGCAATATATTCTACCTTTAATTCATGACATTGGTTTTTATGGCAGATTCATATAGGTGCCCCTTTTGACAACGGCTGCCTTCATGTTTATTTTGGCCCACGTGCACAAACACACCCCTTTTCTGTTTTACAGAATGATCTTTTCTGTTTGTGTTCTCTACTGTAATGTTTTTATCTGCAGCGATCTTGACGTGTTTCTGCCGATTTGGTTATTTAACTGAAGCTTGGTGTAATGTGCCACTTGCTGCCTATTTCATTTCATTTCAACGTATTTTTTTCCAAACGTGACTATGCCAAATATTTTTTTTAACCATTGTCAACAGTCTGCTTGTGACAAGCTGATGGAAATTAGTTTGTTTCAGTGTTGAAAAGTTAGGCGTATTAATTGAGAGTGTGTATGTTGAAAGAAAATCAGACCATTGGTGCTGCTTACTTGCGATATCAGGATGGTTCAATAAACTGCAAACTGTTGACATTATCAGTCATTCTTTGAAATGAAACCTGCCATTAAGGTGAGGAGGACATGTGTTAAAGAAAGCATCGGAGGAAGTGAATAAATTTGGTGGGATGTACCAAAAATATTCAGAATACATTTACTAACTTTAAGAACTGGATTCATTTTGTATTACTTTATAATATGTGTCAAGTAAAAATAATTTAAGAAAAAAATATTTTCTAAGAAATATTCCAGGGGGCCTGGTAGTGCTGTTACCTCACACCCCTGGGACCTGCGTTCGCATCTCTGCTCGTGTGTGGAGTTTGCATGTTCTCCCCCTGTTGTCATGGGGTTTCCTTCAGGTACTCCAGTTGCCCCCCCCCCCCCCCACAGTCTAAAAACATGCTGAGGCTAATTGGAGTTACCACATTGCCCATAGGTGTGCCCGTGTGAGTGAATGGTGTGTGTCCTGGTTTGTTCCCTGCCTTGTGCCCATAGGCTCCAGACCCCCGATGACCCTGAATAGGATAAGTGGGTACAGAACATGGATGGATGGATTCAGGGTGGCCTTCAACACTTTTGATTAAAACAGTTCAAGAAAGTTTAAATATAACAATTTCAGTGGAATGAAGACATGCTAAAATGAATCCTGAGTAACTGGAGAAAAAGAAAACTCTGGTTGGGGTATCAGTCCAGTGGTATTTATGGCCCTGTCCTGTGAATGGGCCAGGAAAATAGACCGCATTAGATTATACAAATAAGTCAGTTACGCATATCATTTTCCATAAGTACAGCCAAATGCAATAAGAAAGGCACAAACAGCTCAAAACAACTAAAGACATACATGTAAAATCTGTCTGTATTGCAACATTTTATTTTAAAATCTTATCCATACAATATACCTGAAACCTATAACTTTGATGTATCTTGGGAGAATAAACAGCATCCATTATATGCAGATTATAAAGTTTTTACAGTTTTCTATATCTAGGTACTTTGTTCATCAAAGCAGTTTTAATTCTAGATAAATTCAATACAGATACTGAAAGAACAAAAGTGCATTATGAGAAATATTATAATTTGATATAGATAAATATTATGTATACAAAGAGAAAAAAAGAAACTCCATGCTTATAAATGAACTGGATTTTAAAAATAAATATACATCTGGCATGCGGCCTTCATGGTACCCAATTTTTTGGAGCATGCTTACAAGTAAGTTACCACACCTGAGACAGTATAAGGGAAGTTCTACGAAAAAAGGTGTTTCGGTTTCTAAATCGACATCACTATTCTATAGCAGAATTCAAAACTAAGCCTAAAATTCTATATTTAAAAAATAACTTTCTTTTCAGTTGCTGTGTTATTATTAGAAATTAAAATCTAGGAACTATTCATAAATGTGCCCATGGGAGATCTGAGAGTGACTTATGTAGGGTCCATGGCCGGGTCGGCTTACGGAGGGTCTCTGGGCCGCATCAGCTTACGGAGGGTCTCTGGGCCGCGTCGCCTTACGGAGGGTCCACGGGCCCGGTCGGCTTACGGAGGGTCTCTGGGCCGCGTCGGCTTACGGAGGGTCTCTGGGCCGGGTCGCCTTACGGAGGGTCCACGGGCCTCGTTGTGTTACGGAGGGTCCACGGGCCGCGTCGGCTTACGGAGGGTCCACGGGCCGCGTCGGCTTACGGAGGGTCTCTGGGCCGGGTCGCCTTACGGAGGGTCCACGGGCTGCGTCGCCTTACGGAGGGTCCAGGGGCCGCGTCGGCTTACGGAGGGTCCATGGGCCGCGTCGGCTTACGGAGGGTCCGCGGGCCGCGTCGGCTTACGGAGGGTCCGCGGGCCGGGTCGGCTTACGGAGGGGTCCGCGGGCCGGGTCGGCTTACGGAGGGTCCGCGGGCCGGGTCGGCTTACGGAGGGTCCACGGGCTGCGTCGCCTTACGGAGGGTCCACGGGCCCGGTCGGCTTACGGAGGGTCTCTGGGCCGCGTCAGCTTACGGAGGGTCCACGGGCCTCATTGTGTTACGGAGGGTCCACGGGCTGCGTCGGCTTACGGAGGGTCCACGGGCCGCGTCGGCTTACGGAGGGTCCACGGGCCTCGTTGTGTTACGGAGGGTCCGCGGGCCGGGTCGGCTTACGGAGGGTCTCTGGGCCGGGTTGGCTTACGGAGGGTCCGCGGGCCGGGTCGGCTTACGGAGGGTCTCTGGGCCGGGTCGGCTTACGGAGGGTCCACAGGCTGCGTCGCCTTACGGAGGGTCCACGGGCCCGGTCGGCTTACGGAGGGTCTCTGGGCCGCGTCGGCTTACGGAGGGTCCACGGGCCTCGTTGTGTTACGGAGGGTCCACGGGCCGCGTCGGCTTACGGAGGGTCCACGGGCCTCGTTGTGTTACGGAGGGTCCACGGGCCGCGTCGGCTTACGGAGGGTCCACGGGCCGGGTTGGCTTACGGAGGGTCTCTGGGCCGCGTCGGCTTACGGAGGGTCCATGGGCCGGGTCGGCTTACGGAGGGTCCACGGGCCGCGTCGGCTTACGGTGGGTCCACGGGCCGCGTCGGCTTACGGTGGGTCTCTGGGCCGCTTCGCCTTACGGAGGGTCCACGGACCGCGTCGGCTTACGGTGGGTCTCTGGGCCGCTTCGCCTTACGGAGGGTCCACGGGCCGAGTCGGCAGGAACGCCTTTCTCTTTAATGCACAGTGAGAGCAACATGCCGGATTGGTGCGGAAACTTCTGGCAAGAGAAGGGCTGGATGGGGCTTGATCTACTCTAAGGGGCATGCAATACTCACATTTCTGTGACATGGTCACATATCGCTTACATACTGATTAATAGCTTTTGTCCTGCAGTTAATGTTCTTAATTTACAGTTACATTATATTGCAGTTGGAAAGGATGCGGATTGGGGGGGAGGGGGGGGTCCTCATATCTTCTATGATCAAGACACACCTTTGCCATTCTGATTTCTAAACATGACCACAGTGGTTATCTGTCATACAAGGCTGTTTCAGGTCTTCATCCCAAAACCTTCACACCAAGCTGACTTCCATTTCAGTGACTTGTTAATGGCCATTGTAAAGTAGGTTGAATTTATTAAATTCAACATGCTGACGTTAAACAGCACTGGTGTTCAGAGAGACCACATAAATCTTAGTCTCACCCCAATCCATTCAAATTGCATCCATAGATTTTGTGTCAAACCAAAAGTTTACAAAATATAGAGGCTCCACTTATTTAAAAAAGTTTGCACAACTTTAAAATCTGCCTCCATATTTTAGTGCTCAGAAATTGCTTTAATCATATTGCTAAGTCGTTTGCTGTCACATCGCATCAGTGACCATCATTAACAGAGAATTAATGTAATGCATCAGGCTGACAGACTCCGGTTCTCCTGGACGAAAGGTTGTGCTGGAATGAGAACCAGCAAAACTCTTAATTCATCTTTTTGCTTTGATTGAGCTCCTGAACAAATTGCCCAGAGTAAATCATGTTAAACTAAATGTGTTTTCAAACTTGCTATACTGTTTGTACAGTGTTCATGCAAAAATTAAACCTAAAATAATACAACTTGAAAGATGTTTCAAAAATATTGACTTGTCAATCATTTAATAACTATGTAAATACTTGATTCCACAAAATCAAGTATAATACATATTTTTATTCCACGGAGTTCATTTGATTAAGAAAACTGTACATGTAACAGTTTTCAGAAAATGCACAAATTCAATTTAATACTACTTCAAATGATAGTCATCCAACTCAATTAAAGCAAAAAGGTTGATACAGAATCAAACCCAGCATACCTTGTGGGACACAGGGAAGAGAGCAATAAATAATGAGTAATCAGTAAGCACTTACATTCCAGCAACACTGACAAAACCATTCCTTCTCCTTCTGGACTGCTCAACATTCATGTACAAACTATAAAAATAAAGCAAAGCATTTTAGGATTTGCTAGGATAGCTTATTAGAAAAAAAATCAAATCTTTTTGGTGAGTGGAATCAAGCTGAAAGACTCCACCATGATGCGATCTTTTGCATAGGTTCTTAAAATCAAACATATTACCTTCTCCATCTGGGCATGCAGTTTAAAATACAAGTGGAACGCTATTGCTAATATGCATTTTCAACACCTAGAAGCTGACAAATAAATGCTATTTCAGCCATTTCTACATCTAGCCAATTCCAGTGAGTGACTGTCAGACAAATTAGGCTCTGTGTTCTTTTTTCCTTTTCAGAGAATATCTAACATGGTAGAGTAACTTTGCATTCTAGTCATATTGCAACACGTGTCTCATTTGTTTTGGAAGTTGAACTGTTTTACTATATTGTGAACAAACCTAAACACGATTTCTGTCCTTGTTTAATTAACCGATTTTGTTTTGGTACAGAATACCTTTGACCGTTAGTTCCATGAGATGACCTATGATCATTTCAAACTGATTTATAGTTCCGTTACTCAACACTTGATAAGAGTTTGTTGAAAGTAAGAGGTTGGTTGCGATCCCTTGTGGCGCGGCGGCTTGTGACTCTGTAATCCATCAAGCTCACCATCCATCTCGTTAGCTGTATGCCTGACAAAACAACCAAACCTGTGGCCTAAGACACGAGCTCCTGAGGGTGAGATTGATAGGATAGACTCTCCTTTGGAAAGAGTATATGAAAAAAACGAGCCACTTAACGCCTGGACTGTAATTAATGTAACAAATTAGCCAAGAACTGGCCTGATGTTGCAGAGGTGCTTAAGGTGCCCACTTGATCCAAACAAAGATGGGGGGGGGGCTGGGGAAATGGCCTGTAGATGGTTCATTTGGCTCTTGGCGGAGATGCGAAGTACAGAGATGGAGAGGAAGGAGCTTGCTGTCCCCAGAGAGATGGAGTTAACTTTCTGATGTAAAAAAAAAATCTGTCACTCAACAGGTCACAGAAGTAAAAATGTTGACCACCTTGTGTACACAAGAAGTTGCCGGTCCAAGTGAGAATAATTGGAATTTAAATAGGCAGAATGTAATTGCACTCATTTACTGTATTACCAAAGCACACTGGAAGTAACTGGATGTCAGGTCATAAAATGTCAGAATTGCAAAATGCCCAGTTTTTTGTAAGAGCTTCTTTTTTTGTACTTTATTAGTCTATTATCTAAGGCATAATGTATTCCCACCTGTCTTTGTGATCTTCAAGAAAACAGTGTAAATCCATCACTAATTATTCTCTTGAAGCACGTATCTAGGACTGAAAAAGTGCTCAGCAAAACTGTTGGGTTTAATATGAAATTTTTGTTCGATATGTCTCCTTTAAATATATATCCAGCTTTGGATGCTTGGCTTCTGTAGCAGTCAGTGAGTCCATGCTCACATGTCCAGGTTAAAGGCCTTCATTAGAAGGTCCAGGTCCCCTATACTGGCGGCTTGGAAGAGCTCAGGCCGGTCCATCATGGAGAGAGCTATTCTAAGGGCAGCCCAGATGTTGCCAGACATGACCTGGTGAGAGAGCTGCCGACTCTTGCTCTTCCTCTGTAAGTTAAGGGCTGTGAGGAAGTTACTGGCTGCCTCCCTGTCAAAGATAAATAAAAGATCCATTACCCTCCTCGACACAGCAGTAAAATGTATTATGTCAGACTTATAATTCACTCCCCACTATCCTTTGTTGTATATTGCCGCAGGGACATCTTGATTTCACTGAGTTTGATGCATCCCTGAGTCAACAAGAGAGTGGCTTGTATTTCACTTCTTTGTGAAATTCTTTAACCGATCACAGTCGTCGTTGTATGACATCTCCATACTGGTCCACTTTTTCTCATTTTCAAACTCATCGCTTGCGACCATCAAGCCAGGGGTACTGTGTGGCTCAGTAGGCTATAACCCTCTGTGCTTACAATCAAAAGGATGTTAGCTCAAGTCCTGTTATTTTTATTACTACTATTTAGTGATGACCAAATGAAGCTTCATGAACCACTTGCTGTATTTTCTGATCCCACTAGATCATTCATATTCCAAAAAAGGGCTCAAGGCATGTCCCAAAGCAAGCCTGGAGCACCATCTAGTGGGGTCAAAAAATTCAGCAAATGGTTCATGAAGCTTCATTTGGCCATCAGTACTACTGTTACCATTACGAAACAGACCCTGACATTACCCCATACAGCCTTTGCAGGTAAGCACACTCCTATGTTTTGTCTATGTTTATGTCCCTTAAAAAAAGGCAGACAAAATAAAACAGGTACTTTACAAATCTGTGCACCTTGCCACTTAACAGGAAACACTGGTTTTAATTCATGTGATGATGTCATCTGATGAGGACTGTGATTGGTTAAGGAAATGAAACGCAAGCCCCTCCCTTGTTGACCAGGGACACATCGAACTCTGCAGAATCAGGACATGCATTGCCGCAGCCTTGAGCTGTGCGTTATCCCCAGTGATGTGCCACTGTGCATTCCCATTCCTCCCTGCGGCCCTGGCCACACTGACCTGTGGGCCCCCAGATTGATGCAGCTGATGCCCAGGTTGTAGCGCGACCTAATGAAGCCTGGCTGCAGCTCCAGGGCCTTGGTGTAGGCGTCCACGGCCTCCTCGCTGCGGTCCCCGTTCGCCAGCGTGGCACCCAGGCGGTTCCACAGCAGGTAGTCCTACAGAAACACCCGCGTGGTTTACTGCCTACAGAAACACCCGCGTGATTTGCTGCCTACAGAAACACCCGCGTGGTTTACTGCCTACAGAAACACCCGCGTGGTTTACTGCCTACAGAAACACCCGCGTGGTTTACTGCCTACAGAAACACCCGCGTGTTTTACTGCCTACAGAAACACCCGCGTGTTTTACTGCCTTGATCAACACAAGATTGTATTATGCAAATGCAACATGCAACGTCAGTAACAGTTGGGTTATGTTACTTGTGTTATGGGCCAGACACAAATTGCATTTATTACTTATATATGTGCAGCGTCTCAATATACAGTTCAGTAATGGTCTGCAGTTAAGTCAACTATGACTATAAAGGTGAATGAATTAAACCACATTTGTTCTGAGTGAGGTACATTGGGTCTGACTGGCAGCGCCCGTTCAGCTCGAGGGCCACTTCTTACTTGTGGTCGGACAGACAGAGCTTTGTTGAAGGCCTCCACGGCTCTGTTAAACTCGCAGCTGAGATTGAAGAGCACACCCAGGCCGGTCTGCAGGTCTGGGTCGATCACATCTGCATTCTTCTGGGCAGCCTCCAAAAAGAGCTCCTTCACATCTACCAGCAGGGCACTGGGGAAGAGAGCAGAGACGGGCAGATTAGCAAAATGGCAGGCAGATTAGCAAAACGCTAGCTGTACTATCATACTGCTACCAATAATTTAATTACTTACAAACGCTTGCTTAGAATATTTATATTTACAGTATTCTGTAAACAATAAAACATTTTTAATTATGCTGACCTTTTGTTGTGCAAGAAGCAACACAACACAGTAAATGTTTTATTTACACAAAGGTACCTGTAACACTTTAAAACACAGACAAAGCATTTCTTTCTGGCATCTAATAGTCTATACACCTATATGACATTTGCAATAGTAATGGCCAAGTAAAGCTTCATGAACCACTTGCTGTATTTTCTGACCCCACTGGATAGTGCTCTCTGATCAAAAAAGGGCACAAAGCATGCCCCAAAGCAAGGCAAGAGCACCATCTAGTGGCGTTAAAAAATACAGCAAGTGGTTCATAAAGCTTCATTTGGCCATCACAAATTTGCAGTACAGCCAAACGAAATATTATTAAAAGACAGCTGCCATAAATCCGGGGATGCCCCGGCCACTGGCAGGCTTCGGGGACCACGCAGTGAAATGCCCGCTGACCCTGTACCTGCTCGTGCTGGAGGCGGAGAGCATTTTGCGCTGGGACCCTGGTGAGCCCCCAACATGGCTCCTCCCCTTCAGCAGATACTTGTACTTGGGGTGGTGCCGCAGCCAGCTGAGGAGGGCCTCACACGCCTCCTGCTGCATTCCCGTATTGGTCAGGCTCACGGCCACTGCCATCAGCGCCTGCAGGTTGTTGGGGTGCAGCTCCAGACACCTGCAAGCAGAACCAGGTGAAGGACACTTCTATAAGACTGCCAGGCCGACAAACACTAATTATCCACGCCCCCCCTGAATTACTGCCACGTTGCCCCTCATTATTCGAGAGCAAGGCCAGGGAGACCCCTCCCTTCTTATCTTTGAACACAGCCACTGCAACAGAATACATCAGCTGGCATGATGAGGCTTTCACACAAATGATTTCCTTAGGCTTCTTATATTGCCGCTGATATTCGTTCCTTTGTTTGTAGGTGCTGTGTAAGAGCTTTCATTAGCATTTAAATAATGCCACGGCGGCCACTTCCCCTAGGGACCCTGAGAGAAGGATCCGTCGCCATGATCTCTGTGATTTATGTGCTAGATTAAAACCAATAATGTAAACACGGTGGAGGATCTGACAGCACACAGCTATATTGCAGACCTCAGTGATAATTCCAACATCCAATTAAGTGAAAAGCGGAGACATTTAGTCTGCTTCATGCTTTTCACCTTTGCCTTCCTCTCTTTCCTCTACCATAACATTTCCAGTATACGGTGTCCCCACCAGGATGATAATCAACAACAATTGTGTTTTACAGCAAGTTCTATGCACTTGAACTCAGAGCTGTTACTGGATATTGGATACTGAGCAATTTGTAGGTCGTGCCCAGCGATGGATTGCAAAGGAAAGCACCTGAATTCAAGCCAGCCTTTTGCCATGTATAAATGATGTGCCTCAGATTTATTAAACATCCAGACTTTCTTGAAAGCTTGTAACCCTGCTAAGGTTATGTCATTATAAGGAAAACATATATATCTTTTAAAAGGAAAAATACATCGGATTGGTAATCCATACACCAGTATTTTAAGACCAGCCCAGTGTGACAGTACTATTTTTTTTTAGAAGTCAGATAAAAAATCTCTGAGGAGGTAGTTTAACGCTTCAGGGATGGAGGGGCAATGAATGTAACTCTCTGTAATTCACTGCATTGATGGTCCCACCTGCAGATGCTTAGAACTTTGGTTCAGATCAATTTGTTCAATTTATTTGTAATGAGTACGAGCATCCATCCATTGGCCCATCATGCATGATCCTAAAAATTCAATTTAATGTGATCTTTTGTTTATTCTTTTGATTCTATACCTAAGGAAGAATATTTGACTAGACAGCAAGCTTCAGAGATCATAAAAACATCTTAAAGAGTGGTCCATTTTGCTACTAAACCACAGATCTATTTTGTGAATCTTGAATATCACCACTATTCCCTCCAGCTCCATTCTGATGTTAACACCCAAAGGTTTCACCTTCTCTGGCATGATGCGTGACTGTCACCATTACTCAGTGCTAACCTGCTGGGCAGTGTTACAGGGAACTGACTCATGCTGAGCCTAATCACTTACGTTATCAGCAAGTCTTTCCTCAAAAAGACAGCCGTCAAGCACCAAAGTTACATTACATACTATTTTCACTCAAGCGTGGAATAGGACCATGTGGTGACCACAGTAATGAGCTGTGGCAGAGTACAGCTGCAGGTGTAACTACTGGAATCAAAAACTATTGATACTGCACTAATAATCTATTTTTATTATATCAGAATCTATCTACTGACGTGAATTCACCTCAATTACAGGTAGAATTTTTGAACAGCAGCAAGTGAACACCCTCTTGCCCTCACCTATGGTCATGAGGTCTGGATAGTGACCGAAAGAATAAGACCTCAGATACAAGCGGCTGGAATGAGCTTCCTCCGCAGGGTGGCTGGGCTCAGCCTTAGAGACAGGGTGAGGAGCTCGGACTTTCGAGATGGGCTCAAAGGAGAGCCGCTGCTCCTCCGCATAAGATGGAGCCAGTCGAGGTGGTTCGGGCATCTATCTAGGATGCCTCCTGGGGAGGTGTTTCGGGGAGGAGACCCCAGGGCAGACCCAGGACACGTCGGAGAGATGCGTGTCTCAGCTGGCCTGGGAACACCTTGGTATTGAGCTGGAGGAGGTGGCTGGTGAGAGGAAGGTCTGGGCATCCCTGCTTAGGCTGCTGCCCCTGTGACCCGATGCTGGATAAGCGGCACATAATGGATGGATGGATGTTTGAACAAGAGTATATTCTGCATTCTGTTTGTCTAATAAGGCAAATCAAATCTTTCTGTTGAAAAAAGCATATTCAATTACACTCTGTTCCCATTTTGGTTATGGTGTCGGCGTTAAACTTAAGCAAAACGACACATTGATGGGGACTGATCTTCATCTCAAGGTGCTGAGAATGTTATGCACTAACACCTTCTCACCTCTGGAGGGAGACAATGGCTGCTTGCTCGTTCTCATTCTCTGCCTGCGTGGTTCCCAGAACCTGCCAAGCCTGGGGAGAAAGTAGGACTTAGCTCTGAAAGATAAGGTCATCACCCGGGTGTGACCATAAGATTGGTGGCATGTCTGAAGTCAAGCCACAGCATAATTTATACAACATGACTCACTGAGACTCTACATGGACCCAAAATTGATATGAATAAATTCTGATTTTGTGTATGTTGGTCCTTCAGACAGAACTATGCAACAACATAAAAATACAACCTAAACAAAACATAATATTGAATAAACCGTTCCAAAAGCATAGAGCAATATTTCAGAAAACAATGCACAAACTGGAAGAGAAATAATAAGCTTAATTTCCTGTGTCTGCAGGTCTGCTATTGTAAGTTATAATTAGCCTGATTGTTTTAGAACAGCCAGGCGCATAAAAATCTGCCAGCGAAACGTAATGATTCTGCATCTCTGGCTGATGGGTCCTGGTGCAGGAACGAGTGACAATGTTTCGCTAAGCAGGACTTGATGGCTGTATAATATATATATATAATATGTATAATATTTATATAACATATTTATATAATATATATTGTTTGTATATTGACTATGTAGAGCCATTTGTAATTTTGGTATTATAATATTTGTATTATTTGTTATTGGTATTTAACTTCTTAATTATTCTCTTACTGTCCGGGAACAACTGTAACCAATAATCTCCTCAGGGATCAATAAAGTGTTCTGAATCTGAATCTGAATAAAAGCTGAGCCAAACTCTTTCTTGATTTCATTATTGCACAATATTCGCAAGACAGGACCATCCAGCTAGCAGCTCTGTCTGGGTCTGGAACGAACCCTAAAAGCTCTGATGGAGAATCACGGGGAGTTCTGAGCCATCTCTATGCCGCAGCTACGCACCATGAGCTAATCAGGACGGCACATGATTCCATGTTGCGACTCTCAGATTCAATTAGTGATACATTAAAATGCTATTAATGAAACATTCCTGAGATGAGCATAGATGAGAGGCTTACAAAACCTCCCCAAGGTCTCTAACAGAGCATAGACTGCTGCCTAATCATGTCAGGAGAATGATTCAAATCAAATTATTCACCTTGGGAAATGTATCATCTTTACTAGAAAAAGGGCATATTCAACTAAACACTCTGGAAGGTGTAAACTGTAAGGTACCTCCATCCATTCATTTATCCTGGATAGGAAACAGATGGACATGGAGCCCATCCCTGGTAGCCCAATGAACAAGGCTGGGGGTCACCTGAATGACAGAGCATCATGGGGTCCAAACCCAGACACAGAGTATAGGAAATGCTATAATAAATGCCAGGAGGAGTCTCAGAACTGCAGCAGGAAACCTGGGTCACACGGGCCAAATGAAGCTTCACGAACCATTTGCTGTATTTTCTGCCCCCACTAGATGGTGCTCTCTGTTCAAAAAAAGGCTCAAATCATGCCCCAAAGCAAGCCAAGAGCACCATCTAGTGGGGTCTATAAATACAGCAAATGGTTCATGAAGCTTCATTTGGCCATCAGCTGGGGTTCAACCCCCCCCCCCCCCCATACTGGAGGTGTGAGGCAAAAGAGCTACAGACTGAGCCACCCTGTCACTGTAATATGCATGTAAACTTTAATGTAGAAAAACCATCTTTGTAGAGTATAATATAGAAAGTGCTAGTTTTATCATTCTAAAGAGATCATTGATAAATAAATCCAGATCGGTCTTTGCTAGGGCTGTGTTTGACTCAGCTTGGTGCTCAGGAACCCCCAGACAGTCCACATTTTAGTCAGGGAGGGAGCTGGGAGGGAGCAAAAACATGGACTGTCTGTGGGTCCCCGAGGACCGGGTGGAGAAACACTGTGCTAGGGTGAAAATCTCTGTGCCCAGAGGCATGCCGAGGAAGGCCTGACAGGTGGGGGCGTGTCCTCAGCGGGGGGCGTGTCCTCAGCAGGGCACGGATCCCCCACTCACCTCAGAGTCCTGTGGGTCCTGCAGGACGGCGGCCTCCAGGAGCAGCACTGCGTTGGGCAGGTCCCCCTCGCGAGCCTTCTTCACCCCATCCTCAAACGCGTTGGGCCAGTCTTTGTACGGGTTATCCGTGTGGAAATAGTAGCCCTAGTAACCCACAGGGAATTGGTACAAAACAATCCTGGTAAACAGGAACAGTAGCGTATAATTAAACATGCCGGAAGTCTGCAACCTTGGGTCAAACCCTAAGAGTTGCCAGGATTATTTTAAAATATTTAACTTTTCTACCCAAATACCCCAGTCATGATTAGTTCAGCAGTGTTTTCCACCCAATTACATCTCAGATTGGCCGACATGAAACGCTATTACAGTTAACCAGTATTAATTCCACTGTTAAACATAAATATAAGTAATATATGAGATACTCATTGCTTGTGATATATTCCCAACTCAACTTGTGATTTAGAGCATCTTTAACCCAGCTTAATGTAACAGCTCAGCAGATGTGGTTTACATACTGCAATGACTGTACACCGATAAGCTTGGTGATGTATGCGTGAATGGGAGATGTGATGTTGTATTGTCACACACTATGCATTGTGTAGACCAGGGGTTCGCAATGTCCGGACCGCAGTCTGGATTCACACCAAACAACAAGTTGGATCCGGCTGGTAATAATAATAATAATAATTAATAATAATAATTTAACCTTTATTGTCCCTCATGGGGAAATTCTTTTTACGCCTCCATCAACTTGCTCTTTGTAGAACAAGCTGTCTGTGAAGGACAGCCACCTGTTGGGGCACCCAGGGAGCTGGGGGTTAAGAGCCTTGCTCAAGGAGCCGCAGACATGCTGAGGGTGGGTTTGAACCGGCGACCTTGTGATGCACCTTATTAATCAATGCGATTAACGTAAAAAGGCTTAATGTGGCTTGAATAACAAAAATACAATGTAGAACTATCAAACTTACACATAACTCGTCATAACAGCATCCCCCCCCCACCCCCATGACAGTCAAAACGATCAGTGAACATTAAATCAATATTTAAGTTCCCTTTATTAAAATATGTTGATGTCTATATCAAAAGTTATGTTATTGTTAATTGATTAAAGGTCTGTTTTGTTACTGAAAGGTGTTCTGGAACCCTGAAAAAATGATGCGGATCTTTGATCAAAAAGTTTGAGAACCCCTGGTTTAGAACATAAGAACATAAGAACATAGAGCGTGACAGTAAGCTGAGAGGCACCTTCTCGTGCGGCGAGACACTGGAAGGGATCTGGGCCTGGTCATTCTCCGTCAGCCAGTTTCTGCGAGCCAGCTCCTCCCACTCGGCCTGCATCTTGTCCCAGAACTCCGTGTCTGACTGTACAGTGGTATGGGGGGGTGGAGGAAAAGGCAGGAATGCAACTCCCTGGAATGGTGAGCATCCAATACACGTTCCCAAACCTCTAAAAACCAACCCTCTGCAACTATACTCACTTCATGGAGCTATCAGTGTACCGACAGATATTTTACACATGCAACTTTACAATGAGCAAAGCCCTTATTTTCATCCGGCTAAGCTCTGTTCCATTGTCTTTCATTTTGAATGAAAAAAAGTACAATACAGACGCTCCCCTACTTATGAATGAGTTACGTTCCGAACGGCCATTCGTAACTTGAGATGCTCGTAAGTCGTTATTCAACATCATTTTAAGGGTATATACAAGTACAAAGAACTAGGATGCTGGGAGTACGCAGGCTACGCTGCTGCGGGGCGGGAGTATCAGCCAGAAGTCATACTAGGCGGAATTGGCGGCAGAAAAAAAATGATGTTGTGGACAGGAAATGGGAGCCCAAGGAACACAATTTGGAGTTACGCTCCTCTTAGTTCGTATGTCTGAAAGTTCGTAAGTTGAAAGTTCGTAAGTCGTGATGGGAGGGTCATACGTATTAACACACAGCAAAGCTGTTATTGTTAAAATGCATAGAAGCATAGAAGCTTTGATTGCTATGCATGAGACAAATCGTGAATAACAAGCACCGCTTATGTCAAATGAAGAAATGGACAATGAGTAACAAACCAGTAGCACCCAAACGGCAGGTAGAAGGCCAATCAGCCACCTTCTTTGCTCAGGGGAGTGACCTTCCATGCCTCCTAGCTGGTACATATAGTCACCAGATAATATAATCCAGCAAAAGTCAGCTGAGATTAATTTAGATAAAATGGCCGATGAATGGGCAGGCAGACAGCAGTCAGGTGTTTAAATGACAGAACATCCAGTCCTATACCTCTGGTGTACCACCAGCTACCTTACAACACATAGAGTACAATAATTCTTGTGCTTTTAAGATGCTAAGCTCTACATGTGTATAGAGTGGCAGTGTTAGGCTTGTAGATGTGCAAAAGACCATTGATTTGTTATTGCGAAACAATTAAATTGCACCATAATGAAAGACACACAGAGATCAAAGCCTGTATACATAGACTGAAGTCCTCTATCAGTGATCAGAAAAAGAGCAGGCGACACTCTTGTCACATGAAAATCATTTAGTGTGACTCTCTTCAGGTTTGCCTGTGGTCCAGGGCATAATTTCTTCACTACAGCTCTGAGTGAAGAAAATAATTAGTAAGTGTTTGATCGCAGGCAATGCGCTAACCTCAGTGCTAAAAACCATTAGATTAATGAACTGCAGAGTAACATGACGTAAATTTTGCATTAGTGGTGAAAACTGAGGAGGGAGATATTGGAGTTTAGAATGTTATCATTGGAAAGCAGCATTGTGAGCTTTGGCACGTTCTTTAATTAGCTTCTGTAACATATAGCAGGGCTTCAGTGGGTACTCCCCAGTGACGGCTGTTTAAGGGAGAGAACAATGTATCCACTTTTATTTCCATTAGCTATTAAAGTTTCAATTTGTCTTTTCTTAAAGAGATGCATTCATGCACAGATTAGTGGCTCATCCCAGAATTATTCCCCTTTGAAGAACATTTTCAGGAAGCACACAGTGTAAATTCTTCCATTTTATACTGCCAGGCATCTAATGTCTTGCTCCCCTTTAGGGAACAATTATTTTGCTGGGTTTCATTTTAAATAGAAGTTCAGGATGCCCCCAGCACAGGCCTGGATCGGGAGGCTCTGCGTATTAAAATGCCATAGCAGTGTCAGTCAGGACAATATGGTGGACTGTAAGTAACGTGTCATTTCTCACTGGAATCTTCGCTAAACATATCGCCGGTGGAGAAAGATAAACTGCGACTGAGGTAGAGGCCCAAATCTCCAGTCTTCCAGCTGAGTGTCCTGCCATTTCCCATCATGTCGATTTAGAGCTGATACTGGACAAGAAAGCTACCACACTAATGTCCTGTGTTCAATTCCTACAGACACAGTCCCTGTTTCCCTTCCTTTATAATCAGCCAGGGCTTCCCGTGTGTGATTAGAGGAACGCCACACTGAGAAAGTCAGAGATGCGGAGCCGTTGCCTGGATATAACGTGCTGCTTAGCCAGTGGTGCCCCGAGGGTCACTGCCGCTGCCTTGCACTCGGGGTCCTGTGACTTACAGCCCAGCAGCTCTCTCACATTGGGGGTCAAAGTTGCCCCTTAATTGGCAGCTGCAAGGTGGAACAAATTCCCGGCTTTTTCATGAGGTGCGTTAGCATTCCCCAGTGTGATGGCAAGATGAGGACTTCTGGGGCCAGACCGCAGCGATCCCTGGCCCGCAGCTCCACATGGAGGACGAAGCCTATAGGTCAACGGCAACTGGGACTAAAACCCGACACTGTAGCTTAAGTTGCTACGTCAAAAAAAATTAAGCATGACAAGCATTTCATACACTCATCTTTTTCGCCTGGGACGAGGCTTGGGACACCCTGTATGAGATGCCAGTATTTTGACTCTGGGAGTCCCAGAGTACTTGATACAATAAACATGAAGAAACTTACAACAGGGAAATTCCCAAAGATATCCCAATTTGTGTACTAGAACAAGTGTTTATGTTGTAGCGACACACAGGGGATTGCAAGCGGGATTGCTGTGCGTTCCTGAGACACCCTCAGGTTGCCCTGGACGACTGACAGTGCCTCCTTTTAGTTGTTCTTGAGTCCACCATTTTATCACAGACGATCACCAAAGTTAACAAACTGCAACTTGGTCAAAATATTTTTTTTACCCTCCCCCTAATCAAGAACTTGCATCTTAAAAATTCTCTGCTCAATAAAAACAAACAAATACATTTGAAATTAACCATACTTCTTCCAACAAAAGACTGTTTACTCACAGTGTCATATTCATAGTGTCATATTCACAGTGTCATAATCACAGTGTCATATTCACAGTGTCATATTCATAGTGTCATATTCACAGTGTCATAATCACACTGTCATATTTACAGTGTCATATTTACAGTGTCATATTCACAGTGTCATATTCAAGGTGCCCTATTCTAGCCAAAGCCTCCCATCACTCATCCACTGGTTGGCCTCCATCACACCTTTGTAGCATTAAGTCTCTGCTGACGTGTAAACGTGAGATGTGACGTGTATCACGTACTGTCAGTATGTGCCCATGCCTCGTTCACACAAACCTCACTGATAGCATTTTCAATGTGCTTTACTCAGCAGCCATAACAGAAGGAAATAAGTACATTATCAATCAAGATTCTACAGGCAATTCCTTAATAAAGACAAAAAAGTCTATCGATGCTGTTCCTGCCAGTCTTTCACCATATAAGCTAAAGTTGAGGGAAAAATGCCTGTTCACAAAAATAACTGAAGTGCTACTGATTTGAAGCCCTAATTACATTTTCTCTAAACTCTGCGGCTGGTGTATTCAGCAGAAGCGAACCTCAGCAATCAGAAATTTGGCAAAATGGGCAGAAATGTACACCATAAATGTTTAGTAGCACATGTCATTTGCCCAAATGATCATGTCTGGCCGTGAAAAGCAGTAATTTACAAGGAGCAAGTGACAATCAAGCCCGAACAGAAACATAACATGGGACTTGGATATTTCCTCACAAACATACGCACAGACACACACAGACACACACACAAATAATGATCAGTGTTCTTGGGAACCTGCATGTTCACAGATGTTCCCTGGTGTCACTGTCAAACCACAGCCCATGTCTGTGTGTTTTTATAAGTAGATTCTTGCATATTAACAGCAGCATAACAGATTGGAACACATGCAGTTCTGATTTAATTAAATGAAAGAGGCGGTTACATAATGAAACAGATTCAGCTATCATTTCTAAACTAATTTAACACCATCTAGGTGCAAAGCATTCAAAAGTACATTGAATTCTAAAAAATCTCATTAAAATACAACAAGTCATTTTAATAGTAACATTGATATACTATAATTATTTTGGAAATTAGCACTAATATTTCTATATCTCAATATATTCTGAATCGTGGTAAAAAAAAAAAAAAAGGTAAACCCCTAAATCACTGTATTTAAATAAAAATGTCTCCACATGTTCGCTCAATAATATTTTTTAAAAACGACATATATACATGGATACACCCGACCACCCCAATTCAGGGTTTCCTGTACCTGCTTTTTGGTGGCAAGCTCTCATGAAATGAGAGGTCTGTCCTGCAGGGGGCGCTATCAATCATTCATTCAACATATCTTTTGTGTGTATCAAATGTATTTGGATGTTCAACAGAAAAGCTGAAGACGGACAAAATAACTTTTAGAGTCTTGTTTTTGCCTTTTTTCCAGTCCCTGATAAATCTATTAGTACATAACTAATAGAGTGCATCTGTGTTGTGCATCTGTGTTGTGCATCTGTGTAGTGCATCTGTGTTGTGCATCTGTGTTGTGCATCTGTGTTGTGCATCTGTGTAGTGCATCTGTGTTGTGCATCTGTGTTGTGCATCTGTGTTGTGCATCTGAGTAGTGCTCAGATATAAAAAATAACAAGTTTGGAATTTTTGGTTCTAGGCTAAATATCCACTTACGCTCAATTACTCTCGGTTTCCTTAATCTAGCTTTTTTCCTAGAAAAAATGAATAATTCTTCCATTGTCCTCCCACCTTCCTAATATACGTCAATAATCAGCTGCTGTGGTGAGTCGTGCTGACAGAGTGGTGGCCCCCTTTCAGCACTCAGTAAGGATCATTCAGGCATCAAAAGGTGAGCCTTTTCCTACTATTTTAATCGAATGTGAGGCACAGCCTTAAGATCGTCCTGCCTTTCCTGGAAACGCTTCTGTGCTATCTCTACGTGCCAGAAAACACCCATCCGCTGCGGTAAGCTTGTGGATTTTATAATAACCCCTCGTGTCCTTTTTAAATAGAATGACTTCCTTCTTTATAATAATTTCCATAATCCCAAATAGTTTAACCAGTGAGATCCCTGCCGTCCCCCTGCCCTCAGTTTCACTGTAAATTAAATGCTATGATCGTCTTTTCTCAGACGTAATTTCTATGTTATCTTCCTCTGTTAATATTTCTATGTTAAATGGATAGCAACTGTAACTATTCTCCCATGATGGACATTTTGGGATTTTAAACTTGCTACTCAAATATTATAAACTCCATTCATAAGTTAATTAGAATGAATGAATGAATAAATCAATGGATGGATATCTACATAATGCCTCTATATTCAGTCTCCAAGAGAAAAGGCAGGTTTTTGACAGATTTACCAGTTGCACTATTGTAAAATACACATTAAACATGCTTAGTGAGCTGGCAGGGGTGACACGCTGGTTCTGTGGGTAGAGCTGTAGCCTTGCATCTCGAGGTTGTGTTTGATTCCCAGTTCTGAGCTCACATGTTCACTTTAAAGGCCATTTGGCAGATGCACCACCTTTGTAAAGGTCATGCTGCCACCTTGGAATTTCGGCTACAGTGTATGGCTCAGTGGCTTTGGGTTCTGTACCCGTGACTGGAAGGTTGCTGGTTTGAATCCTGGGGCTGGCAGACTGATGCTGCCATTAGCCCCCCCCCCCCCCCCCCCCCCCCCATACTGGAGGTGTGAGGCA